ATTCCCGGTCGAACTGGTCGGTCCGGTCCGGTTTTGATAACATTGGTTAAAACTTAAATATCCTGTGGGTCTTTCCAACTTTAGCAAGAAAAAGCCAATCCAATTATGCACAACAAAGAGTAAGTATTAAATCTGTGTCGAGACGTACGCAAAACGGCTCGTGTGACGAGCAGAACTCATATCATACAAAAACGTAAAGCACGGCCCAAAGATATTGGTGGGACCACCAACAACCGTGCACGGCCCAAAACGAACTAATCACTCGTCAGTTATCACCTTCCCATTTTATCGACTTATTGAAGACTGAAAGAAATCGCGAACACCAGAAAATACAGCACTATTGCTCAAATACTGCTATACAGGGAACAGGTGTACACTCTCATCTTCTGCTCAAAATATATACACACAGTCGAGACTAATCTACAGAGATAATCATTCCCGGCTTCTAATATATAAAACACTGACTGGTAACAAGGATCTTGACAGAATTTGGTCTGCTTCGAACATAACTTATGCTGAGCAAATACCCCATTAAGATAATTAAGTTTTTAGCATAACTTTCATGCAGACTGTATCGCATTTCTCACGTCATTGCTTTGAAAGCCATCGTTCTACGACGATAGCAGTCTCCTCTGTCAACAATCATCATATAACAATATTTAAATAAACTCAGTAGCATTAAAATGGAGAATTAAAGGAATTCCTTGGATTAAAATGCATGTCCTGTTCTCAAAAGGGAAAAAAGGAAAAGGAAAAAAAGCATGCAAACATACAAATGTATAATGCTCATGTCAGAAAAGCCGAAGGTAGTTGGAGTTTATATGGCGACACATCTACATGCTTAGACTATATAGCCAGAATGTATTTCCGGATTGTATTTTGCAGGAAGAAGTATCGCAAGACTCGAGGTGCAAGTATATTCTCACAAAAGGCTTTAATATGAGTTACTTAAAATCCTACAAGTGCACTCAATGTACAAATTATCCTACCGAGAGTAATATAACCTTCTCACCATGGGTTGATTTCCATATTATGAGACACGAGAGTTTGAATCATAACAAGAATGGAATGCGCATATCTCTCTCTATCGACACTTAGTAGAGTGCACTTTAGGTCAAGAAACAATTGCATCAATATATTAACTGAAGGAAGCCAAGGTAATTTTCATAACTCATATTTAACAAATTCATCCAGAGAATACAATGTGTGTCTGTGTGTGTGTGTGAGAGAGAGGATCAATGCAACATGAATAAACAGCTCCAACAACGTGGTACTTTGAAAGCTCAATCATGAAAACGAGACGGAACAACTCCTGGTACTACAAACAACCGCAGAAGGCAACAGGAGGAAACAAAATGTGGGTTAACAAAAAACTCGAAGTATGTACAAGTATTTATTTATGATAAATTCACAGGAATGGTAGCATGTGAACAATAACAAAGTAAAGAAAGTTCAACTCACATTGTCCTCAAATACAGGGCTGACCAAATTGACAGAGAGATTCTTCATTAACATCACAGCCTGCAGTAAATGTCACAAAATTTCAGTGGTGTTACATCTCAATAATATAAACCATGTTGTGCAAGCAAAACATAAGTAAACATAAGCAAATTGCCATGATCTAGGAAGAACACAGAAAACAAGACTAAAGCTCCTCATGATATGTATCTTCATCCCCCGAAACCCCACAACCAGATCGTGCAAGAAGTTCGATCCTAGGTATATCTTGCAAGAGTATAACTAGGGGCAAGAAAGGAAATTTGACTTACCGTCTCTACATCTAAAGGGTCCATTGTTTTAAGTCTTTCCAGATGATCACTTGCACAAGGGTCAAAAACGCTTCCAATGAATCTATAAACCTGAGCAAAATCTGGCATAACTGCAACCACAAAGACAATAGTGCAAACTTAGATTCATTCTGAAAGTAAACAAAAACAACACAATTGTTTCAAACTGAAAATTTAAGTTAACAATTGAATAGCATATGACGTCCTCCTCATTAATAAAATTACAAGCAAGTGCCAAAAGTGATGCTCGTTCACTTATAAACACCCCTGATGGCTGACAAAACCCTTGCTATTTTGACCTTACTCAATATCACATAGGCAGGACTAAAAGAGTAAAACTCTTACTATTTTGACCTTAGACAACATCACACAGGGAAACCAACCTCTTGTGGTATTGTTGCTAGTTTTCACTGAACGACGCATTACACCAGTTCTACCCACACAGGGATTGCTCTCGCTGTTGCTGCTGCTATAATTATTGGTGCCACTAACTAATCCAATATCATCTGAAAAAACAGGACAACATTTCAGCAGAGACATCTCCAAAGGAAATACAACATCAGCATTTCCAGGGGAAAAAAAGTACCTTTAAATGTACGCGACAAAAATCCTGCTGGCAAAACACTGTAATTCCAAGAAGACAAAGGTTGAGTGCTCATTGGATTTTCGGATATTGACAAAGAATCAGACCCCACACTGTATCCACGCTCTACTAAAGCAGCTGAAGATTGCTGAGGACCGATGGCTTGAGACGCATCTGTGTAGTTACAAGGAGAATATGATTTGAATCTCATGATACCATGTGAAAGAGAACAACAGAAAATGCAAATGTAACAAACCGTTTTTTGGGGCTTTCTGTGGATAAGGATGAGCTGCTTTTCTCTTTGGCCGTGGGGGAGGTACATGTTCGCTTGTTCCATTCTTCTGGACTTTTAGAAAATATTTCTGAGCATGACTCCGAATCTGCGGATACCAATTTCTTTAGCTCAAGAAAAAGAATGCAGATGAACATAATTTTTTTTTTTTAAAAAAAAAAGTAAAAGACTAGTTTCTGGGTATAAATTATTCATAGTTTTTTGGCACTATATTATCCATTTATCCATCAACATTTGAATATGGTAATATAATTCTCAATGAAAACGCTACCTTCTCAGCCGGAGGTGGTGAGGTGTAAACTATTCACACGGAAGGAAAGCATAAAACTACGAAAAGGCAAGGAACTACCAGAACAAGAAGAACAAAAAAAGCGAGACAATGATTTGAACACAAATAACCTATTGCAATTGAATTCTAGGAATAAGCACATGCAACTAGGGTGCACACTCAATCAAAACATAAATATGATGAAGGATGTCAGGATCATTCCTCACCTAGTCACCTCTTTAATAAATGAGATGAAACTAGCTAGTTAACAAAACGTAGAGAAAAATCAGAGTCACCTGACACTAACAAAAACATTACAAAAGTGTTGATCAACTTGGGATCACCTGGATAACAGTCTTTGACCCGACAAATGCTTCAATCTTCTTCCAATCACGGTCAAATCTGAAAGGGGCGAAATCAACAACAATAATAATGTGAGCACGTTTCCAATATTACAGAAAGATCTTCCATCAAAACTCGAAATCTCATTTGTTAAGTAGCATACCACCACACCAGTATATTTCGCATATAATCAACAAAACAAGAAAACTTACCACGACATTAGTAAAACATACCCAAACCGATTTACAAAACATCAAAAAAACCAAAGAACTTTGAGTTTCTGCAAAAACTTCTCTATACCGAGCACTAAATTTACATGAAAAATAACTACTAACCAATGATCACACGAAAAAAATTCAAAATATCATCAATTTCATTATATTCATCACTCATCCAAACACACTCACTGACTCACACACAACACTCTACAAAAAATACTTACACAGCCAACAACAGACTTACAGATGAAGCGCCTCCACGAACTTGTCGTGCTCCTGCTCGCTCCAGCTCTCTCTTGACTTGGTAATAGTGTACGGCTTTCTGATCTTCTTATGCGGGTCATCCGCACCCGGAGCCACATTCCCCACCGGCGCCGTTTGAAGCAGGCTGTTCTTGTTCTCATCGCCGTTCAGACCCGGGAACTTCATCGGATCCCCTCCCATATGAAAACCGTAAGTAAAATACCGAATCTGGAGGTGGATTTGGGTACACGGACACCATGTATTATGTTGATCACAATTCAAATCTTCAAAACCCTAACGAATTAAAACTTCAAATTGAAGGGGCACAAAGTAGAAAAGGAGGGAAAATCAAAGTGCTTGCTCTATATTGGAAATTTGGAGCTGAAATTCAGTAACTATAATTTTCCGGCGGGTTTTCGGCTGATCTGCGGTGGTTTTTCGGTGGTGGTGGAGTGGAGTAGAAGATGAGAGAGAAACTGGTTTGGGGTTTTCTGTAAATAAAGAATACAACCGACTTTTTATGGGGATGGGGATAAAGAGATCTGAACCGTACACGTGGCAAGAGATTGGCGAATGCTCGTGTGATTATACTGAAGACGTGTCAGTGTGCGTTTGGAGCTTACTGGGTTTTGACTAAATTTTCATTTAATACCTTCTTGACCAATTAATTAACTTTAGACTTATCAATGTTATCACAAATTCATATAATATAAATAAAATATATAATAAAAAATACAATAATGTAACTCAAATGACATGATGTCATAATTTGACACCCTTACATGATATCAGGTGCTCCGAGTTGATGGCCAGCCTCACC